GCTGTATTTGGAACGCTGGACACCTAACTAACAGGGTTGCGGGTCCAAGTCTCGGGGGTCGCCACCCCTGGTTTTGGGTATGGCTGCCTGATGACGGTTTATTAGCCAGAAATTGCCATTCCAGTCTTCCTTGTCTTTGTCGATTATTGTTATTGTTGTTTTCCTCCTTAAGTTCAAATTTCATCTGAGACGATACTATTTCAGTTTGCCGTTAGAAACTGTTCACCCTATCTTTGTACATACCAGTGTACACTATTCTTGAGACCCTATTTGTTCGATCTATCCTCCTCCGTAACCGTTTCGTTAAAAAATTCACTGTGTTTAGTTCATTTTTGTCTTTCTTTTACTCAGCATATCGTTCTATGTTAAGTCGCTAGTCCCTCTAGTGCTTCCCGCTGATTTTTCAATTTATCCTCTTTTTAGAAATCAAGATTAATTATTTTTTCCTGTGCGACCGCTGTGCTTTTCTGGCATTCGCACTTCCTTCTTAATTGTTTGTTTCGCAGCAGTATCATTTAGCATCGTTTGTACCAGTAATCATGTAACAAATATAAGGAGCGTTCACTTTAAAAAATCTCCCCGCCTGGGGTTTTAGCAACGGACTTCCTCATTCTGGGCTTCAGGTGGTGAGCAGTACTAGGAACCCCGACTTCACAAGAAGTAAAGTCCCCTTTCTATGTTTCCTTCCACTGATAAATTACATTTATTCCGTTTTCCTTTGAGGCAGGAAACAACTTTCGGGATAGACAAGGCAATAGTCACCCCTATTATAAATGGCTTTGCGCTGAATTCCAGGGGGTGCTCGGGTTAGGGTTAGAGTGAGAACAGTAGTAGTAGACCATAGTACTAAGTGCCCGTAGAATTTAGCGCTTGGCCACCATTCTTTTTTTTCCTAGAAGCTTTTTTTAGCAATGTTGAAAATCGCTGTCAGAAACGAAGTTAACCAACCGAACTGATGCGGAGCAGGAAGTGAGAAAACTTTTCTCACCTTTGCGAATCTCTCACCGGCCTGGAATATGACTTTTGCGGGCACATTTTCCGCGAGGAGGTCGAGTTTATTGGCCAAGAGCATAACCGGCGTACCAGGGTCAACGCCATCAGCAACACTTTGCATCCAACCTCGCAACTGAAGGAAACTCATTTCGGTGGTGATGTCGTAGACTAGGATAACGCCATCGGCTTTTCTAAAATACTGCGTCGTAATGCTTCGGTATCTACAGTCAGAGCGAATGAATCTTGATTAGTGCAGGCAAAGTTTCCTTCTCAATAGAGTCGTATTTTGTGTAAACATTGCTGGAATGCTAATACAAGAGATGTTGACAGAAGGCAAGAATAATTTTTCTTCAACTGCATTACTGCAACGGTTCGCTTAGAGTTGGCAGAATTGAAAGAAATTTCTACCTACCTTTCTTGGCCGGCTGTGTCCCAGAGTTGCAAGACTACTGATGCACCATCGACTTTCATGGGCTTTACCTGTACATCCACGCCTACTGTGGTGGCCATTTGCGAGAAGTTACCGGTGATGAACGTCTGCAAAATCGATGTTTTGCCGACGCCCGAATTTCCTATCGTGATTACCTTGAAGACACGTTCAGGTCCGTTGCCTGACTGAAATAAAAAACACAAAAATCATCCTCTGTAGGAAGCGTTTATATTATGCATTGCCTGGGTGCGGCCGAATTTCAAGCGTCTCACAAAAATTTCTGCTCAGTTATCGTGTAAACAAGTGCTCATAGGCTAGGAAAGTAGGGACTTTAAATTCTAATCGCCTGTCATATTCTTATCGGAGGAACAAACTTTGAAGTTTGCATGAGGTTTTTTATCGCAAGCGCAAGTCTCTTAACAAATCGATTTATTTGTCTCAACGCCGCTTTTATCTCTGACGAATAAAACCAAAATTAAGTGGAGCTACGAGACTTCGTAGTTTTTGCTTATACAAAAACACATATGGAATGCGAACATACGTCGCAGTTCGAGAATGTCACAACACCAGTAGATGAATTTTGGTGGGAGTCGGGATCGTATCGATGGAAACTATGTAAAAGGACTAAAAAAATTTAGAAAAGGGGAAAAATAAAATGTTACTTGACCGCTAGTATTTGTTTAAGCCTATTGAGCTATGACAAAATCACTCGGTGATAAATGCCATAAGCCAATAAGAACGTCTGCGCGCCATGAGCTGGTGTCAGTGGCAGTAAGCAGGCCACGCACCAGAACAACAGTAAAAACCTCCAATTTAAGTCGCACGAAATATTTGCTAAGTACTTTGCAAAGGTAATGAGAGCTATGCAAGTGTTTGTGCCCTTGTTATCGACAGCTCAGATGGTAAAATCAACGCACATATCAGGTACGGTTGCTGAAAATAATGAACAAGAAATTGACCTTTGAGATAAGGTTTATCAGTATGACGAACGACTCATCACCCTAAATCAGCTCAGTTATCTCAATTATCAATTAATTTTTGGCTTAATGAAACTATATATTTTAAAACTATAAGCATGTATAAAAAGTAAGATAACCTTTATCTTTTAAATATGTACAAGGTATTTCAATAGAATTTACTAATACTAAATATCTTAAGAAAGTTTAAACTCAGGGAACTTCTATTAAAGATTTCAGAAAATGTGACCGCAAAAGCTGAAGGTGAATGTGAGAAGTACGCAGGTATCATGTCCACGTTATGATTAGTGATCAGATAGTAGCTAGTCGTACCCTTTGACCGAGAAGAGAACGCTTTTTATTTTGTTCCTTTAAACCCGATTTATATGGCCGGATATCCCCAATTTGCGGAATATTTTTTCTCAGTTTGAATAATTTAAAAGAAATTCAAGCACGAGTAGAACGTTGTTGCGTGTCTGTTGGAAGATGCTCTGGTGGCATTTCTTTAACAAGTGCCGACTTACTGCAAGAACTACATTGAAGATGTCGTAATTCAGAAATTTTTGCGGAATTACTGAGTAAGAGTCAGCTTATTTTACAATTACATCTATCGTTGACCTCTAATGTGATGGAGTCCCGCCATTACATAAGGCTTAAGTCCTACAGGATAGTCGGCCACCGGATTTTTCTTTACTCCAAATGGCAATTTTTGCCTAGGTAAGAAGCCTACAAAAGCGTTCAGGTCTAAAAGAACACAACCGCCAAAAAATAGTAGAAAACATACAAATGTATCTTCCATCATCGTTGATTGATCATTTGCACCATCCGGAGAAGGTCGGGGACTTCTAAAATAGACCAAATTTTCATAGAGCATATGAGGATTCGTCTTTAGCAAAAGGAATAATTGAAAAGTCTGCCCAAATATTCAACATTTTAGAGGTAAGGTTTGCCTTTTGTATCGCAAACTAAGACAAATTTGATGGATTATGCAGCTACGTGTAACAGGTAAATCAGGAGGGTTCAGAAAAATTATGCCACTATTTGAAAGTATGGACATCAAAAAACTTTAGTGTTTTTCCAGTTCATACTTTAGTGGTTTTTATTCTTAATATGGCATTTTGGACGGAATAATTTTATTATTAGGGCATGTTTGATTCAGTAAATTACTGTTGGGCAACTTAAATGATTTAACGTTTTCGTGAGTATTGCAATTTGGCTCCACTATAACTGGATGTGGACTATTTAACGATAAAAATGAGCAGATTTTATATATCTTAAATAATGTATGTTAAAGTACGAATAATACAGTGTTTTTCTACTTCTGTCAATTTAAGTTCATTTTTCTAAAAAAAACCAGATTACCAACTTAGTGGGCACTATCTCAATGTAGACCTCAAAGCCATGTACTATTGAATTTCGATAGACGAACAATGGGGTTTCAGAGTTCCTTTATTTTTCATGTCCTGTTCCTAATGCATATTTAAATCTTAAATTTTATTTCTTATGGCAGCAGCTTAAGATACCTCTTTTTCAAGATATTTCATCATTCAGTACTTTGGCATGGTTTATCCAGAAAATCTAGATTTATCTCCTCGTGTCTATTAAGTCAAGGCTAATCAGATGGGTGGCTTCATTTCGCATTATTTTTCTCCCGAATCTAGAGATTTAACTTTCTAACCTATTTGCCCGCATGTACTGTCGCATTTTATTTATCTATTGAATGCCTGGGATTTTTTATGATTCAAGTATTTCCAGGAATTTTTTAATTGAAAGCCCTGAGCCCGTGCTAAATCTAATAGTTTTTATACTGAGAGAAGTTTATTGGCCAACTTTACGCTTTTATGAGTTGAAATATCGGCGGCTGGTTCTTGCCTCTAACGTCGCACTTATTCTCGCCTTGAACCCCACGAGATGACGCTCTAGTTACTATGGTACATAAGTGGCGCTCTGGAAAAACGGCCTTAGAACGCGTTTGAATATATTTCAGGCACACAAAGCCCGCAAAGTTCGATGTCTTCATGAGCATTTTATGCCAAATTCCTATTCGAAGACTGAAAGTCCGTGTCATCATTTCAGCCTCCTAAAAACTCACCCAGAACATGTTAATGTAGGACTACATGTTGGAATTGCACACTCATACAAAGTTAGCAATAACAGTCGGGGGCTAGGTAGGTTTTGCTAAAAGTTTGTAATTTCACAGATTGGATGAACGTTAGCAACACAAAGACTGGTTCTTCCAGATTGTTGACTGTCACACCTAAAAAAGTTAAGTGTACAATGTCACGGCGATGGAGTTATTTTTTAGACTGAGAACCAGACAGACCGTGGGTTGTGAGTAGTGTGGGCCTCTCGCTAGGCCTCGTTCAACTCGTAGTTTGGACTCCCGCTCACACATACAAAGCGCAGCCACCCCCCAGTTCCGAAGCCTGGTAATGGATCAACTCCAAAAACCAGCCGAAACCGACGGGACAACGAGCTTGTGGCGCAGTTTTCAGAGTGTTGCATTTCTAACCAACAGGTCGCGGGTTCGAGACTAAGGTGTTGCAGCAACTAGGATTGAGTACGCAAGGCAATGAGGGCCGACAAGCCAGAAATAGTTATTCCAGTCCCCTTTGTCTTCGTCGATAAAAGTTTTCTATTTCTAAAACAGTTATTTGTGCTATTCCTGCTCTAACCTCAGGTGAGACTGCAGCACTGTGCAAACAACTCAATCAAACAAGCCCGTAGTTGCCGTACTCGTTTGGACTCCCCTTTACTTGAAACCCGACTTTTCCCCTCTACTGAGGACTACTTTCACCAATTCAATTTCAGATACCACTTGGAAAATGCAGTGAAATTATATTGTCCCTTCAGGATTACAGTGATTAAAATCTGCAAGTTAAACACTCGTTTAAATTAAACGAGTGGGCTCATTTTGATAAAGTGTACCTTGACTTTGTATGAATTCCTGTGCTTATGAGTAAGAGCAGGTCTTTTTTTATTTGAAGTGTCCTTTTTATTCGTATAAATATGGTGCAACTGATCGATCAGGATTAATTATTATAAGAATAAGAATTTCTTTGGGAATTTTTCAATTTTATTGCGTAAA